GAGCCCCGTACCCCAATTACTCCCTGCCACTTTTTGCTGTAGGTTAGTATTGTCACACTACTAACTACGTTTCTACTAAACGTAAACATGTTTTTTTCAATAAATGACCTATGCTGACATTAAGCTGGAGATTACACTCACTATGTCGCATGTCAACAAGACGTAAAATGTTTCTTGATTGGCTGACTGATCCACAGAAACAGTTCACCGAGAGTTTTGGCAGGTGGAAGACATTTGCCCTTGTGGGTCTTGAACATGTGACCTTTCAGCCACAGTAACTTTAACCATCAAGCCACCTTTAAACGCTCCTTGACCCATGTGGGGAGATGGAAGTGTCCCGTCCCTGAATGAGCTCCCTTAGACAGCCTGATTCGTTTTTCCAGCTGTGAGGGAGGCATTCATCATCATCATCCTCAGATGTCCCCGTCACACATCATCATATATATTCCGATGAGGTCACACACACACACACACACACACACACACACGACAAATAAACAACATGCGACTTCAGAGAGTGCATGTCTGGTTCACTGTAGCGGACAGCCCAGATGTTGCAGAGACAGAATGTACAGTGTGCCACAGTAATTAGCATGCCTGTGCTGTGTGCTGCTGTATTGATATGCAGTCCATGTCTGGATAAAGAATTCTGTTTGGTCTCGCTGGCTTTGGCTCGGTGCTTTCCTAGGGAATCATCTCCTCCTCTCTTCTCTTGTTTCTCCGTCCCTCTGCTTTTCCCTCGCCACATATCTTTCTCAGCCTTTCAAATCATATTCACTTTTTGTCATTTTTAGTGGCATAATTGAACTGAAGAGCCATGGGATGAATATAAGAGAATTTTGTTTTTCCAAAAACATGTCAGTGCATATTTACAGAAGCGTAATGCATTCATTTGAGAAGTGTTTTTTTTAATTAACAAGATGCCTCAAAATCCTGGAGCAGGCTGCGGGTGTTGATGCTACTCAGCCTGATCTTCCAACAAAAACAGTACTAGGCCTGTATGATTTCAGGTAGGGGGTCAATAAACCAATAACAGTGTTGTCTACAACTTAAAGACAATGTCTCAAACCCAGACTAAAATAATACTGGATTAAACTAAACCGGCAGGATGTTTGCTTCCTTGAAATAATCTCGTTAATTCTGAAAAACATAGCAAAATCTTTTTTTTATCAGGAAAACTCGTTAATTTAAAAAAACAGCCTGCTAACTGTTCTTATGCAAGCACTCCATCTCCCAGAGAGAACAAGCGATGAAATATTAAGTAAGAGGGCGAGACTGAGATAGCAGTAAAAATCCATCTTCGTTCTGTAACTCTGGTTTCTGTGTCTTTAAATACTCAGCAACACATCTTTAATTCAGTTCAGCTCTGTATACAGTGTGTATCAAATATGCATCACTGTCTCTTAATAATACACTACATGGCCATGTATGTGGACACCGTTTCCCTTCATTTTTGTGCCTTTTGTCTGGGGCTGCTTTTCATGTTTTGGGCTGATCACTATAAAAGAAGACAAATCAATCAATCATACTATAATGTATTGACCATAGTTTTCTGACAACTTTTTGTCAGCAGTTTGTGTTTGTCCCTTTCCAGTTTCAACATGAGAATGCTTCAGTGCACAGCGCCAGGTCCATAAAGCAATGTAACAGCCCTGACTCAGAAAGCTGGGTTTTTAAAGAAATAATCAGCAGTGGATTCAGTTAGAAGCTGATGAAAGATTGGTTTCTTTGTATACATGAGCAGCACTTGAATTGAAGCTTTCAAATGTAACTTGCTTTGCTCAAAGCGGGAACCTTCCTGCTGTGAAGCGTGTTGGACTGATGTAGTTTGATCTCCTTTGTCTTCTTGTCCTTCACTTAAACAGCGGAGCTTCATGTGGGAAGCTGAGAGGAAAAATGGAAGCGGGGAGACGAGAGCTTGCGTGTGTTCGGCAAATAAGTCTGGCATCTGACCAGATTTTTTTCAATTCAATAGATGGCGGGCCAGAACATAGTCAATTCATCGTTTATAATCCGTCATTTGCTGGTTGCCTATTTATCTCAGTCGGCAGTACACAGGACTCCCGTTTGACGGGTTGTGTGTTCCCACTTGCTGCTAGTATTATTTTTCTTCCTTTCCAACAAATTGATTATGAAGAGATTGTTTTACATGTGCGTTTTAGTGTGTGCCTCCCGGTCATTGGTCCACAAATAGGCTAATTCTTATTTTCATTTCCCCAGTATCTCCAGGCAGAGGAAATTCCTGCGTTTCTCATTCAGGGGAATCCGTGATCTCATGTGTTTTGATGGCTTTTTCAGAGGTATTTCAAGCAAGCCAGAGACTCTCATCCTTCAGAACTTTTCAAAGTAAAAGCTCTCAATTAAACACCACATAAAGTACCGCTGAAAAGATGTTCTCGTGCTTTCATTTTATAGGCACAGTCACTTAAGAGGAAGTGATTATGTGAGTAACTTTTGCTGTCATGACTGAGATCTGTTTTAGCACCAGCGTCTATAATGTTTTTTCTTTTGCTGCTATTAAAGTAATCTGGCCACTGACCAGATTTTGTTGCCAGCGCGCCAGTTTTGGCCCGCGGGCCACCTACTGTCGACCACTGGTGTTAAGCATCATCATAAAGTGGCAACCTCTCTCAGTACCCATTTCCCTGAGGTATTAAAAGTAATGTAAAGCAGAAGTACATCCTCATATGCTTGATATGCTTTATTATAGTTGTATCTCTGTTGTATTTCTTATTTTGAAAGATTCGTAGTATGTTCTGCTCCATACTTTTCCTTCTGCTGTAATCAGGTTCATGCTATCTTTTGTGAACTTTTCTTTATATCATCTTTGAAAATTGTGGTAATTATCATGTGTGTTATTTTGATTTTCAGGGTAGTACAGCAGCCCATTGTTACCAGACAAATTCATTTCAAACCCCGACCCTGCTGGTTCCCTTCAGGAAAACACCAATGGCGTCTTCAAATCGGAATGGTTTTACCATGCTCAGGGGAAGAGACCATTTGAACAAACCAAATGTGGTTATCACAATTTTGCAAGTGGTCATTTTCAAATAGTTTTGGCTTTACAAACAAATGTTTTTCAGAATGTCAAGCGCTTGGAGCTGAAGAAATATAGTTTTTTGACTACTATTTAGGACCTTTTTTTTTTTACATGACTTAACATGTGGACATAACAAATAATATCATGCAACATTTTTGAAAACTGAACATGGCGAGATCCATTTTTGTTGTCAGACTCCTGTAGCAGCAACAGGGTTCCTCCTGACTTAAACCACTTGGATTTCAAACATTTCATCTGCTCCACTTCCCACGTCCATGCAAAATAAAACCTACATTTTTCTATTTGAAGGCAGTTTTTATCCCTGTGAGCTCTGTGGTTCTCTGTCTGAACCTGAACTCTGACCTCCAGGGATCAATTAAGCAGCAGTTAGAAAGGATTTCCCAACTATCCATAATTATCCGTGGTGGACCACAGGGAATAATTCAGCCCTGGGACCTGAGACTATAAGATAAATCTTTACAGGGTAATGATATTAATACAGCAGACATAACGCATAAACAGCAGAACTTACAACTGCAAACAGAATATATATATATTGCACTATTGCCTTTATAGGGATAAACTTCTATTGAATTGATTGAGTATTCAGACTGAGAGCAAAAGGACAGTAAACGACACAGCAGGCTGCACCAACACACATCCCTATTTAGATTCACCACACATCTTTCTCCCTGCATCATTTCATGCTCCGACCACTCAAAGTGAAGAATCCTCCGGGCAGAACAGTAAACACCGTTTGATGTTGTTGAACAGCAGCTCAGCCTCATGAAAGAGGTAAATGTGAAAGAATTTGAGGCACGGTGGGAGCTTTGAAACATCAGGCGCACCAGATATGCTGAAACAAAATCTAAATGTGGCACAAAATAAGGAGAGAAACAACCTAAAAACCAATGTTACGGTGTGGGTGTTGATGGAAATGGAGTGTTTTTTTTTCCCTCATAGAAAGGCATGAGTCGCAGTATGTGGTGGTGGGTTGTTTGAAACGAGAGGTGTGCGGAGGAACGGTGATCCGTGAGGAAATGACTGCAGGATTCTGGAGGGAGTTGTGGTGCTGGTTCTGGTGGCTTTTCACTATATATTTGTGAAGTGTGTCAAATCACCAAGGCCCAAACATCATTTTCCTGAAAGTTTCTTTGCAGGGTGAGTTAGTGTTAGATCATCCAAGCTCAGACGCTCATGGAGGTTTTTCACTTTCTTGTTAATTTTCTTTTTCTTGCTGTTTCGTCTGCATGTTTTTAGCAGTACATTTCTAAATGCTGCATGTATAAATACTTTGCTATAATAATGTTACAGAACATGGAATCCATCATCAGATAACTTGCTGTCCATTATAGAGTGTATTTGAAGTTACTGAGCATATCAGGTTATTTACTAGCGACGTGTTTTTTCCCTCACACTAGTTTGCTGAAGAGTCTTAAATGTTCCTCTACTACTCATGTTTGAGTACAGCCAGCTCAACTTGCTTCAGTATTTAAACCCTGCCTAGACTCCTAATTTCCTCCCTAATAAACCGTATATTGGCCATGGCCTTTACACAACAAGCAAGACAGAAGCGTCATGTTAAAAAAAGATACTCAAGTTCAATGACAACATCAACTAAGATTTCCACAGGTTAGCACTCACATGTCAAAGGACATTTCAGATGGTTTTAGCAATGACAATACTACTGAAGCCTCTACGTCTTTTAGTGAGCATGTCCTCTATGTTGTACGCTAGGTCATGTAAAAACCCTTTACTATGCTTATGTATTATAACAGTGGGATATCTATATGAATTAACTATATAATTAAGGCCAAACTCTGTCATATATCTACACTCTCTAACTGGTCTGATTGTAAGAGCCTCCATTGAAAATGTTTTAACAGCAGGATGTGTGGGGGAAACTAACCAGGCCTCCCTTCCCTCTCTAACCCCCCCCCCCTGTTTTCTCACATCCCAGAGAACCACTCTGCCCCTCCAGATGTCACCGGCTACACCAACAACACCGCCAATGCGACCACCACCGACGGGATCCAGGTGGAGAGAGCCCCGGGCGCCGGCACCGCGGCCCAGAGACAGGCGCCCAAGTATGGTAACGCTGAGCTGATGGAGACCGGAGATGGTGAGTCAGGGCTGGGAAAATGATCAGGGGAGAAGAGTTTAAGGGTGGCAGAAATAATTATAGTAACAATATGAAACAGAAGCTCCTCTAATAGTTTGGCCACCATAAAGAAAGACCAGTATTCATTCATTATGACCTTGTTTATGTCTTGAGGTCCACATGACAATAATTATATATTTCTAGCATAGTTAACAGCTGTCATGACAAACAGCAGCTCCTAAAGGGGAAATCAGTATAACAGGGACCTGAGTTTATTGGATTAACGCAGACTTTCAGACTTACTTGGGGGACAAATAAATATGAGCTATTCATAGATCTAAAGAGGCAGCAGGTGGGTGTGGTTAAATCGTATTGAGTCCTAGTACTTGAAGCAGATAATATCATAAAAAGCTGTTTTGTGAACTTGAAGTAGGTTTTATGCTAATTAATAAATTCAGGGACACAATGCCAGTGTTCAACAGGTGAATCCTACCTTTGGATTTTTTGTTGTACGATATCCATTCAAGTCTGCATCACAGCTTCATAACCAAAAACACTGCATCAAAATCAGTCCAAGAACATTTCTGGGATGTTTGTCTTCAGATGTACCCAGGAGATGTGATTCTAAAGACAAAGCAGGTCTGTTAAATGGCCAGACTGTCTTTTGTGCTTGAGGAAATTTATTTTATTTATTTATTTTTATTACAGTTATTATTTACTATATTATTTGTTTTACTTGTTTTAAAAATGCTTCCTCATTTTGCTCATCTTATATATAGCACAAGTTTATTTAAAATGTCTTGTGATGCTCATTTTATTGCACCCAAGTATAAAATGACCTATATGTACAGTTTATTTTTATTCAGAAAAATCAGACACATATTCTGATCACAGTTGGTGTGTAATTTTTACACGATGATCTGTTAAAGTTTTCGCATCTCCCTTTGTCGCCTAATTTGTCATCATTCAGAGCTGCATCAGCCAGCTCTTTTAACATCAAAACAATGCTGTTTAGCATTAGAAAGGACAGATCCAGAGTTCTGTACACTCCTCAGAGAGGACCAAGGACCCCTGTTTGCGTGTTTCATAATTCCTTCTCTGGAGGACCATGAAGCTGCAGCAGACGGAGTTATTCATCAGTCACTGTGATCGATGCCGCCCAGGACGTAGATGTTGAACGCAGCTCACAGCGAAGCAGCTTGACAGATCAGGTGCCAGAGTTTACAGATGGGAGCTTATTGGGGGTGTTTGGCTGAAAGAGACACAACAAAGCTGAGGCTCTTTTTCAAAACACAGAGAGGATATGATCAGAAATTATAAATCTTTGTATTATGTTGCTTGCACTGGGTATGTTTCTTTTTTCAGAGATTTGGATTTTTAGATTCTGTATATTTGAGGATTTAACCTTTGATTCATTGAGTAGGAGCCGATATTTCACTTTAGTGGCTTTCCCTCTGGTTGTTCCTTCAGTAGTTTTTACATCTTAAAATCGGAACTTCTTTAAGGAATAATATTTGCCCTGTCTATCTGGTCTTTGGAGGCATTTCACTACTAAAACTGGCCTGTAAAAAAATAAATTTATGATGTATAATCCACACTCATTTTGCACCGGTTTCTGTTCTATCTGACCCAGCTGCTTTTGCAGAATCTCGATGCATATGAATTAGGTGGTGAGAAATGAGGCAGAGACATGTCCATGTAAGTTGAAAACGTTTCAGCTAAGTGAAAATGTGTGTTTATTCCAAGCCTTTATTTACTCTTCATTAACGTACAGCAAACCAACTTCTTCATGATGATTTTGCCAAGCTCAGCTACTGCATGTCTTTGGCTCACACAGCCACCACAACAAAATCTGCCAAAACATCTTTTTGCTTCCAGATCTCAGGACTTAGGCTTCCATCCCACCTCTCCATGTTAAAGCTCCACACTGAGATAGTTGGGTTTAAAATCAGCCTTAATGAAATAGCAATTTGTACCCATACCTTATGTCGTGTGCCATTTTCTGTCATCAGTGTCATGTTCAGCTGCGGTTCTGTTGATTGCTCACTCGAGGACATGTGCCATTTAAATGTAGATTTATAACTTGGGGATGTTTTTGTTTATCTTAGATGAAGTAGCAGGATGCACTCAGTGGAATGTGAAAGCGACGACTACTTCACCGGTGCACCTGTGCGAGCACAATCAGGAGTTTAGTCTTGGACTTACATTAATGTGTGTCTGTTTGTTTGTGTGTTCGTCCTCCGCAGGTGTTCCAGTCAGCAGCAGAGTTTCAGCCAAAATTCAGCAACTCGTCAACACTCTGAAGAGACCCAAGCGGCCGCCGTTAAGAGAGTTCTTTGTTGACGACTTTGAGGAGCTCCTGGAGGGTAATAAATCTCTTTCTTTGTTTTGAAAAATATTTGAAGTTGGGTCTGATGGGCCTTAAAAAAACATTTTCAGCAAACTATTCATGGCTTGTGCTTGTGCTGTTTTTTGTCATCTGTTTGTATTTTGTGTCATACTACATTACATCATTATGGTTATACCCAATACAATCAATTAACTCAGAAGCAGCTGAAGAAAAGTATGGTTTTAAAACAGGACCATAGATTGCAAAGAGTGTTTGCAAGTTTTAGCTCTTGAACTAAACAGTATATCATGTGTACTTTACATTTTCCTAACCATGCTTTTCAAATGTTGAAAAGCTGGACAATAATGCACACAGATAAATGACTAGAGCAGTGAACACAATACACAGTGAAACTGCCCACATTCTATGATTTGACTTATAATGGTGAAAGATTTTTTTTCTGTGCAGCTGAAAGCGTATGCCAGAAAATCATTTATTTTTTAACTTTTAAGCATCATCTGAAATGATTGTTATTAACTGTGAGGATAGTAGTTGTTAAGTTGGTTAAACCTGGTAATTAAATCTTTAAAGACTGTTTGAAATGAGGGTGAAAAAGTTGATAAAGCCTCGTAAAAACTCCAGACTACACACTAGAGTGTAACTCCATTCATAAGTGTGTTTACATGCAAACTGCTATCTCTACTATGAACAGATTTTTGGAGTATGTGATGTATTATAGTGAATGTTGGAATTAATTTTTGAACTTGTCAACAAATCTAAAATGTATAAACCATTAACGTTCTTGCTCTCCTCTTCTATATCTTCCTCCAGTCCAGCAGCCAGATCCCAATCAGCCCAAGGCAGAGGGGGCTCAGATGGTGGCCATGCAGGGTGAGCAGTTGGGCGTGGTAACCAACTGGCCACCGTCTCTGGAGGCGGCCCTACAGAGGTGGGGCACTATCTCTCCTAAGGCCCCCTGTCTCACCACCATGGACACCAACGGCAAGCCGCTCTACGTGCTCACATACGGTAAGCAAAGCCTCGGTTCACACCAGTCAGGGTGGGAAACCATGCGGGGTCACTGTGGGAGTGGTACAAGATTTTTTTACGAGATAGAAGAGAAACATTTTTCAGCTAAGAAATCAATTGACATTTATTTGTACATTGTTTCTCTTTAGCTTTAGGCATTTCTTGTTAAATAAGTGTTCCAGTCTTTTTTTTAAAAGCTTTAATTTAAAGCTGGGTATTACATCAATACTAGTGCCAATATGTTACCTGAATTTGGATACCTGAGTTTTAAAAACTTGTCTTTGACAAAGAAATTTCACTTTAGAAAGAAACCAAATATCCCAAATGTTGAAGACCAAAACACAAGCATACAAGGATTTTATCTAAATAAAAATGACCACAATTTGATTGGAATTAGTAAGTACAGGGTATCTGATCAGAAAATAAGTAAACAATATTATATAGCTTTCAGTACTTGTAAGTTTTTTATAATGGTGTGTGTGTGTGTGTGTGTGTGTGTGAGAGAGAGAGAGAGTAAAAGCATTGATGTTGAAAAATGGTGTCAGCTTCTCTTGTCTTAAAGAGGTGGTATTATGCTTTTTGGCTTTTTCCCTCTCCTTTTTTGAGTTATATTCCTTTTTTGTGCATGTAATAGGTTTGCAATAGTGTTGTAGTCAAGACCGCCCAAACCGAGACCAAGTCAAGACCAAGACCAGAGTTTATCGAGACAGAGACAAGACCAAGACCAGTTCCCTGCATTGCATAGCATGCAATAAAATGTGGAACGAGATCATAGGTACTTTTCAAATTGATCTGAAAGATCCACATTCCCATTAAAACACCAACATACAAACACTGAATAGCTGAAATCTACGTAAGCATCGCAGGGAGGGGTGACAGTTGTTAATTAGGGTTATTGGTTGCATTTGAAGCAACATGTTTTACTTCCAATCAAAGTTAAGATGTTAACAAATCAGACAACGCAAAAGCAATTTATTGATATTCCCAAAGTTATGGTCTTGACTGGTCTTGAATTAATATTCTCAATAAAGTCCTCAGTGTCCGAGACCGAGACAAGACCAAGACCATCAAAAAGTGGTCTTAAGACCAAGACCGGTCTCGAGTACTACAACACTAGTGTGGTGTCCAATATATGTGCATTTGACTCATAACAGTTCAAAATAGCACTGAAGCAGCAGGACAGAGGGTCAGTGACCTCCTACGGGGAGAGCAGTGATTGGTGGTTATGTAGGGACTGAACCCTTCTATAGAATTTGACCTCTAACCCCTTGTTTTGTTACCTCAGATTAGTACTGTACCCTTCTATGGGATCAAGAACAGTGTCAAGCGGGTTTCTTCTCAACACATCATCACAGCATTATTGTTTGGACACCACACTAGTTTGCAAAGTGAAAAAGCCCAAAGTGAGTTCCCATCTCCCACAGAAAACTCTGTGGCAACACAGGGATGAAAGCAAAATGCGCATCATAATGCTCGCCAAGCAGCTAGTCCAACACGCCCTCAAAAACACCGGTGGAAAAACAGTGAGCTGCAGCACATACCTCTCCTCTCCCTTCCAAACACTAGCTACCCTCCAGGCAGTCAGTGGACATAAAGTTGTTCCTGTGATGTAGAGACAGAGCTCAGTTAAAACTTTATGGATGAAAGAGACTTTTGTTACAGATTAATAACTCACCACTCTGAAACTCTCGCTCCAGTCCATGTTGCCAAGCTGGTCGGCAACATGTACAGCTGAACCAAAGCCTTCTCATTGGCCCGCCCTTCTCTGCTTCTGATTGGCTAGTACTCCTTAACTAGGAACTTTGCGCAACTCCCAAGAAAAGATGTATCACTCCATAGCTAAAACAAAGGTTTCCACATGCAGGGTGAAAAGAGGAGCTGCAGCAATGTGCAGTATGACAAAAATATGGTGTTTTTTGAAAATTAAACCATGTAAACCTGTTCTGGTACAACCACTAAATAAGATTTTGAACCTGAAAATAAGGATAATACCACCTCTTTAAATAAATCGGGACTGTGTTTGATCATTAGTCTCCAATGTCAATGTTATGATCTATGACCAAAGTTGAACAGATTTTTAGTCAGCATTAATGTTTTCTGTAGTTTTTGGTGCCACATTGAACTTTATGCATCATGAAAACATATAACGATCAATAGTAAAAAAAAAATTTGTAGTATGTGTATACAGCAGGACTTTCCTCTGAATTGCTTCCTATTTTTTCTGCACATATGGAGGCTTTCACAAGCAGATTAACTGAAGCACCAAACAATGTTTAACACCCGCTGTGTGAGCATAATTCCACTAATGGCAGCCAGACAGAGCGCTAAGCATATTAGCAAAGTGTGAAAAAGATGCTTTCAAGAAAGCTGCTCTGCTACAGAGGGAGGGAAAGTTTTTCATCCCAAATATGTTTTATGTTTTATACTTTTTTTCTTAGGAATATATTCTGAGTGACTTATACTGTTGCGCTGAAAGGACTGGATGAATTCACTCCTTACTTTATGATTTAGTCATCTGCTTGTTGTGCCTAAAATAACATGTACAAAGCTTTTAGATTATTTTTATCCTAAATATTTTTTTTCACACCAAGTGTGTTTGGAGCAGCAACCTCTGGACTACTTTCAACATTTAGTTTTTCTCCCCAAAATATGAATGTTCCCATCTTGTGGTTTTCTCGACCTTGGAAGTGGAAACGTTTGGAAAGCTTAGAGTTTACGAGTTGTGACGTGTTTGCTGATGTTTTTCACAAATGGCGGAGGCCATGGAAGTTAACTTTACGGTGAAAGGTTAGTTTATATATATAAAAATGCGACACCTTTGTCGTCTCATTTCTTGTTCCTCCACATGGCGTTGAAATAGTGTCTGTGAAGGTTCTCAGTCATCCAGGTCAACCAAGGAAGGTTAAAATCAAGGGCAACTGGACCACCTATGGTTTTTCGAGTTTCTTCAACCAAGTCCAGTTGCCCTAGATTTTAACCTTCCTCAGATACAAAGTAAGTAAAAAAGCAGCTGTGTTCTCATGACTTAACACTTGAACACAAAGCATATCATGTACACAACTGTCCATCTCGTAACCACAAGCTCACAAGTACCATTTGAAGGCAGCAACACACCCCGAGGTGGGACCCTACCCGACCAAATTAGACCCAGCCTGATTCCAAGGTAGGGTCTTGGTTATCGGGAACCAAGTGGACCTGTAAAGACCTGTACTACAAGTTTCTGTTGCCACCAGAGACTTTAACATAAAGACACCACCACGCCAGCAAAAGAAAGTCTAAATAATAGTTGACTTTTCAGTAACACCAGGCATATGTGGTGATCTAGCAAAGCCATTTACACTGTAAACCACCTACTCGCCTAAATCATCACTTCTTATTAGCAAGTAAGTGAAAATGTGAACACAGCTGTGGTTAGTTATGTAATTAAAGCATGACGCATCCGTGTAGTCTTGTGGTTGTGGTATCAACAAGTCAAATCTGACACAGAGCTATAAATTCCTAAGTGAGAGGCAACTTCTGCAGTACTGCCTCCGAAAACAAAGTAAGCGTAGCAGCCGAAGTGAGAAGACAAACACACAGCATGGTAAAAGGAAATAAGAAATGATCCAAAACACGTATCAGTCGTCTCGCCTGCAGCACCGCCATCGTCCCAGCTCCCTGCACACATTTACTGCAGCTGAATCACATCACGTCTTAACCCCCGGGTCAGTGCCACAGTTTAAGTCTACACCCAAATTGAAACAAACTCTTTTGTTCAGCAGCTGAGGGCTGCAGATCCCAGTTATTCATCTCCCAAACAGCAGCGGAGAAAATGGTTTCAGGTCCATAGCGTGTAAAGAGATTTCGCTGAGGTGAACAGAGCTGCTTCTCTCAGGTCCTTGTGAATTTAGAGTTGGACCTCCCTGCTGAACAGTGGAGAGAATGAAGTGATACCAAGAGGGCTGCAGATATGCAAACATACACAGGCTACTCACATAGTTATGCACATGAATACAGACTCACATCTTGAGGCTCAGAGTTTAAAGAAGTACTCGCATCTTTTACCTAAAACTACAGTATGTCCGAGAAAATACTAGTACACTAATACAAGTACAAACCAGGAAGGGTGGGTAAAGGGAGAAAGTAGATGAAAATAATGAAGAAAGGAAAAGGTATAAAAGAGAAAAGATTAAATATATATTAATATTTAATATATTTTAACATTAATTAATTTAATATTAATGGAAAAATGGAAAGAAAGAAAGAAGACAGCTGACATGACATTTCTTTATGATTTTATCTCATGGTGACTGTAAAATCAACCATAGGCCTGTTACATGCAGATCACAAATGGTTGCAGTGTATCATTTCACAAAGGGTCGTTACTTGCAAACTGCAGATAAATCTGTGAGGCCTACAGCGCGGAGGTGTTCAGTTATCAAATTACTGATTACTGAAACTGTAGCTTACATGTTGCACATGTGTCGAGTATCTCCAGCTGCAATGAAAATATTTCCCTTTCTAATGCAGTGGATGAAATATGGAAAGTTTCCAAAAATGAACATTCGGACCAACAATTGTGTTTGAAGTTCAGTACTTTGTAAAGTACTTTGCTGTTTCCCTCCTCTGTTAGGGTTGGTAGAATATCTGCATCATACACCCCCCCCCCCACACACACACACACACAATCATTAACCCAGATGATTAACTTATCATAGGCTGTAACTTAGTGCATCAACTTTCTTCAAATAGGCCTGCAGTTTGTGTGTGTGTGTGTGTGTATGTGTGTGTGTAAGCGAACAAACTGATTTGTGAGGAGTGAGCTTGCAGCCAATGATGAGGCGATATGAGCGCTCACCAGACTGTGAAATGTCTTCACCCAGCACACAGGAGTCCTCCACCAGAGAGACAGCAACACGGTGAGGCTGTGTGGGAGTGTGTGTGGGGTGCTGAATCTAAATCTCAATCTTCTCTCTCTATCTCCCTTTATCTTTTATTCCTGTGGTGTCTTCCCTTTGATG